CATAATTGGGAGATTGCATTTGGATTTACGCATATGTCAATTGCCAAAACAAATATATAGGGAATACAATAATTAAGGAGTATAGTTCAAATAAAATATTAAATAAATATTATCAATGTTAAGATATGTATTAATCATAATTGGGAGAATGCATTTGGATTTGCTGTCATATGTCAATTGCCAAAACAAATAAATGGGGTCTGTACTTCAATTATTTTTCTTGCTAAACCCTCTTTAATAATTTATATTTACTTTAAAATTATTTAATATATTTAATAAAATATTTTTAATCATCTAACATTTTCATACCGTATTAGTATAAAATTATGACATAATTGCTTACGTGGTCGTGGTTGCAACTTTTGACGTTGCCATACTGTTTGTCTTCTCCAAGTTGGTGCAATCGTAGTAAATCTCAATTATCACGATTCGCTTCCTACCAACATTATTAGAAAATTTAAAATATTATTTAGTAAGATAAATTTTGTCAATAATTTAAAATTTAATTTTAAGGTATTATTAATATAAAATATAATTTGAAATTAATTATTATTAAAATCAATAAAATTTCATGGATAAGTTAATTTATAAATAAAAATAATTTTTATATAATCAATTATTTTGATTTGATTTAATTTATATTTTATTAATATTTAAATATTACTACAAATATTAAAAAATTATTAATACAAATATTTGTTTCACCACAACGTAATTATTTTTAAATTTTTTTATTGTATTATTGTTAAATACAATTGATATTATCTTAAACTTAATTTGGGATAAACATAAAATTATAATTTTATATTAAATTAAAAAATGCTGAATTTTATTATAAATTTAATTTTAAAAGTAAAATTTTTGAAACACAGATTATAATGCTGCATTGAAATGCATATTTAGTAATGTGAAAATTGTGACTGACAAAACATGCTAGATAATTAGGCTGCGTAAGAGAGAGGGATGGGGTGCCATTTTGCATGTTGCACGGATCATGCTCGGAATTTAGGGTGTATAAAAGGCATCTAGGTTTAAATTAGGTATCATAGAGACTATTCTTATAAATATCTTTCCAAAGATTATTTATTGTACAAGCAATAATTTAGTATTTATTTCTGCATCACACAGGTACAAGAATAATCCATGTGTACTTAAATTTATTATTAACCCTTTAATTAAATAAATTTATTATCTCATATTCTATATACTTATAAATATGAACTATTACATCATTGTCTAATAATGCCCACTAACAAATTATAACAGGTAATATTGAGACAACAATATTAAGTCATTATGTTAGCATTTATACGTTTACTTAGTATTTTTTTGTCAATGTTTTTTAAAGATATATATGTACTGAAATTAAGCCTAATTTTTTGGATTACAAAAGAAAATAAAGAAACAAAGACAGGAAAGTAAAGCTTAAAACGAAACACACTCATTGTAGCTTGGAATATAAAAGATCACTGAGGAGTGAGGACAAAAGAGCCAATTTGTTAGTTTTGTTAAGAGTGTTATGTGGTCAAAATTGAAACCTCAAGTAATGACCAATAATAACACCACCTTAGATTTTTTCACTTCTCATTCACGTTAGATTTATTTAAGGATAACGAAGCAAGTTTTTAAGACTTCAATAAATCTTACTATAGCATTTGTTACGGTATTTTTAAATTTAACAAAACATTGCATGTCCTTTTTATACCGAGTATTGTGATTATTTTAATATCTTAAAAATATAAGAGTATTTACATTTTTTAAATAAATCACTAATTTTATTATCTATTAATATAAAGTTAATAAAAGGTATAAAAAGTATCGTTGAATTTACTTCTTACTTATTAGCGTTGTAGCCTGCATCATGAAAATGGAAAGCATAAATGTATTGTTTTCAATCAACTTTGAACAACAGCGTTATTTATTTATCTTAAAAAAGAAAAAGAAGGATTTAAGAGAACAATAAAATAAAATAAAAGCTGGATAGTGTTATAAAAGCATATATTAGTTAAAAATTAGTTATATTTTTTTTATTGAAAATATTATTAATACATTCTTATCTTACAAATATTCATCAACAAAGTCTTATAATTAAAAAAAAAAAAAAAACAAGCGAGACTGTAAAATTTAATGATTCAAAATAAAATTTATTAAGATAAATTTTTAACTTTATTTTAAGTGAGTACTAGGTAGGACTTGCATGATTAACTTCTTAGAATAATTAAAACTCAGAATAATTAGTTAATTATTATTTATGCATATACACATCTCAAAAAATATTTCAAAAATAAAGAAGACAACTAAATGATTCCTCCAAAAGTTATGAAAAACATTCCTAAAAATATAATGTGGAATACTTGTTGGCTGTGTACGGTAGTTGTGTGTGACTTCTTTCTTTATAAAGATTAAAATAACTAACATTTGTAATTTATAGAATAATTTAGAGTATTATACTTTATTTTAACGCAATTATCGGTAACTCACGCATTATTAGTTCGTACCAAAGCAAGACTCGTCAGTGTTGTCAGCCTGTCATTTTGTAAGAATAATGTTATTTATATTTTTTATTTTATACTTTGTTTTAATGAATATAAAAATAAGCTATAATTTATCATTTAAATAAACAAAAAACTATCGAGTACATGAATCTCACAGACATCGTTTCAATTAAACCTATAGATATAACTGTATTAAGTAAGAAGAGAAAATTTTGCTGACTTAAATATGATTGTTTTTAATAGAAAATATGTGATCTAGACAAAAAATAATAAAAAAATAGTTATATAAAATTTTAGTATTAATTAAAAATAAATAAATTTAACTAAAATAAGTAAACCTTTTTATTGTATTTTTTTCTGAAAATATATATTTTTATTATTTATTTTTTGTTATAAAATCATGTTAAAATTTTGTAAAATATAAGAATGATTATGAGTGTATAGATTCAATTAACCGGACCAACTCAACATAATCTAGTACTAAATCTAATGAATTAGTTCAGATTTTTTTATTAATTAGATTATAAAATCCTAAACCCAATGATTAAATTAAGTTGAATATCAGTTTTTCATTATTTAGCCCGACTTCACCTAAATATTATTATTATTATTATTAGACAAGCACACAATTACATATATATAAATTGAAGAATTTGAATAGTGATAATTTTTTAAAAGTATTAATTAATCATTTAGAACGCAATTTTTTTAGGACCCGACTGCTTAATCCTATTTAACTCATTTTCAATCGGGTTGGTTCAATTCGAGTTGCAAATAAACAATGTAACCAATTACCTATTAATATCTCAATAATGAGTTAAATATACAAGTCCTTAGTTAAACAAATATTTTAACACGCTGAATGGCTGCATTACGTATATGCTCGAATTAAATAAGTGAAATTGTGTAGATTTATATTTAAATAAGCATAAAAATTTAAAATTATATATAATTTTTTTTGTTGTTGGTAGATTAAATGGGTCAACCCATATAACTCGTGAGTTATGTTTCAAGTTTAAATAAATCATATATTTTCAAGTCTAGACTACTAAAATTGTGAGCTTTTAATATATTAAAAAAAATTGCAAGCTTTTGGGGGGGCGAATTTGTATGCCAATGCCCATATATTTAACTTGTACATATATTTTTTCAAACGTTTATGTATATTTATTTGTATAAGATAATTTTCATTTTTCATTGTGGACTCTATACACGGCCCACACATCCATTCCCTACATGCCGAGTACACCAACTCAAACTTTTCACTTATTCGACAAAAAAGAAAACATTTCTGTTATGAATGACCACAAATAAAAGTGCTAATAAAATATGTTTACACATTTTTTAGTTTTTATTATACTTTCATTTTTTAATAATTAAATTATTTATCAAATAAAATATTTTGTAAAATATTATTTATCTTTTTAAAAAGTAAATTAGTCACATGAAATTTGTCAAAAACTATATTTTAAAAATATATTGCTGACAAATATGAAGAATTTTTTATATGGAATAATAACATGGTATGCTGGAGCATGCCTTGGCACAAAGTGACAAAAGGGAAAAAGATCAGATGCTTCATCCCAAGTTGTATGTATCCGAGGGACCCTGTTATAGAATTATAAAGTATATATATTTACACAATATTTTCATCTCATCATTTTTCTTTTGTTATTTTCTGCCTGTTCAATTTTTTTCTTTTCTCCATTTTATTTCCTTATGTGTCTTTAGGTGTACATTCGGTGAACGTATGAATATTATATTTTCCTCTTATAAACGGGACCCGGATATCACATGCAATTAAAAAACATAACTCTTCGTGTAACGTGTTACACTTGATACATTATAATTGATGTTGTGGGTAATAAACAATTGATTTTAATCGTGAAAACCTTGAACAGTTTGCTCCTCGATTCTATAAAAGGAGGTGCGCAAGAAAGGTGGTGGCAGAAGTTGCTTTGGACCTTAACTTGCTATCTGTTTTGTTGCTTAATTCTGAGAGGTAAGTCCTTATAACTCATCTCTTCCCTCTCATCTTACTTCAGTTAGTGTACGTTTCTTCTGCATTTATATAATCGTGCATGCTTATCACATAATTAAGTGTATATTTGTAAACAAAGAAAAATTTATAAACATAAATCTAACGCCGAAGTAACAACTAAATGAAGCAAATGTAGATTCAAATGTCTAATATCCAAACATGTTATATATAAATCATAGTGAATATTTTGTGGGTTGTGTGTGTGTATGGTTCGATTTGTTGAAGTCTTGCTCCTGCCGTCACAGACAGTACGTTAACCTGACACGCTCCAGGGTCCACCAGCAAAATTTCCACTTATATCATACTGCAAAAATATAAATAATCACTTAAAAAACAAAGCTCTATGCTGTAAAACTTACGTTTGTACTTCCATTTCTTACATATTTTTTCTCGTCTCTTTTGATGCAACAGACATGGATTTCGCAATTTGCATGCTGCTCGTGTTGTTGGCATGTGTTGCTGTAATGCATGCAAGAGGCAAGAAAACAAGCTACAAGCTACCACCGGGACCTTCCCTTCTTACTATCATAAAAAACTCTCTTGATTTGTACAAAAAGCCACAACAGACCATGGCTAAACTTGCTAAGGTGTATGGCCCAATAATGCGTTTTAAGATAGGGCAAGCAACCACCATTGTAGTCTCGTCCACAAACGCAGTCAAAGAGATTCTTCAAACCCATGACACATTATTCTCAGACAGAACAAACCCTGATATTACAACAGCTTATAACCACAACCATTATAGCTTGGTTTTCCTCCCAGTTTCACCTCTTTGGCAAGATCTAAGGAAAATATGCCATGGCCATTTGTTCTCCAACAAGACTCTTGATGCCAGCCAAGACCTTAGGCGCAAGAAACTTCAAGAACTCCTCAGTGATATCCGTCAAAACAGCCTTAAGGGTGAAACAGTGGATGTTGGAAGAGCAGCTTTCATGACTTGCATTAACTTTCTATCCTACACGTTTGTCTCTCAAGATTTTGTTGACTCTGTAGGTAACGGTGAGTATAAGCATATTGTGGGGACTCTCTTGAAAGCAACTGGGACACCTAACTTGGTGGATTATTTCCCAATGTTAAGGTTGTTTGACCCACAAGGCATTCGAAGGCACACCAGTAATTATATTGACAAGTTGTTCGATGTCTTGGACCCCATAATTGAGGAACGGATGAAGCTCAGAAAAGAGATGCATTATGTCACAAACAATGACATGTTAGACACATTGCTTGAAATTTCTGAAGGGAATACCCTGAAGATAAATAAAAAACAGATCAAACATTTATTTCTTGTACGTTTCTCTCTCTCTCTCTCTCTTTGTTGTAGTTTACTATCTATGTTATAATTATGACGTGCATGAACATATATATATAACTGCTGGATCATGTTATATTAAATATTATGGTTTGTAATAGGACCTACTTGTGGCGGGAACTGATACAACGGCATATGGATTAGAAAGGACAATGACTGAACTAATGCACAGCCCAGAGGCAATGGCAAAGGCCAAAAAGGAGTTGGAGGAAACCATTGGAAGAGGTAATCCGGTTGAGGAATCAGACGTTGCAAGACTTCCATATTTGCAAGCAGTGATAAAAGAGAGTTTGCGTTTACATCCACCAGCGCCACTTTTGCTCCCTAGGAGAGCCAAGATAGATGTGCAAGTGTGTGGCTACACAATCCCAAAGGGTTCCCAAATCCTTATCAATGAGTGGGCCATTGGTAGGAACCCAAACATATGGGATAATGCACATGTTTTTTCACCTGAAAGATTTTTGGGTTCTGACATTGATGTCAAAGGTCGCAACTTTCAGCTCACCCCATTTGGCAGCGGTCGACGTATATGCCCTGGCTCTCCTCTTGCTGTTAGGATGTTGCATTTGATGTTGGGATCATTGATCAACTCTTTTGATTGGAAACTTGAAAACAATATCAATCCAAAAGACATGGACTTGGATCAATCCCTACGAGCTATTCCAGTTATGAGAAAATAACCAATAGCCTAGTTGTTTGTATTTTCACTTGCTCCTATCCCATTTCTTCCTTCTCATATTTTATGTATTAGGGGATGGTTGAATTTGACGGTGTTGTGTTGTGCTCAGAAATAAAAATAAGAGAGATAAATAAACAAGCTTTAAGCGACATGATCAATGTATCTTCTTGCAAAGGAATTGATTTGAGGGCTTGAGTTCTATGCACTTTAATTTTTCTTGTATGAGTGGGCTTAAGTGCCTCTCAGAGTTTCAAGCCTTTGTATGGGGATGTGAAATAGTGTCGGCTTAAAATAATACTAAAATGCATTCCATCCAAATTATTTCTAATATCCCTATTTATTATCCAACTTAATCAACATGGGATGACATTTTCGAAATATTAAAAATATTGATTTTTTTTCTTCCTCTCTCTCCTTATAGTTTCACACTTATGCTTAACCTTCTACCTTTGAATTTATAAAAATATAAGTAAAAATCATTAAATCAAGATTGAAATATATATAATCTTATATATATATATATTTTAATAAATTTTAACAAATAATAATAAAAAATATATAAAAAAGTGTTGCTAACTTTTCTCTTTCACCCTTTTCACCTCCGTACCTATCGATATACCTTAACATCCCCTATACGTACGAACTGACAAATCGTTTTTTTTTAAACTACGCTTTCACATTTTTTATTGGCCTCATTAACAGCATTAACCACAATTCCAAATGCATGCTCGTCTTTCTTAATGGTTTCTTTTTTCTTATCATTAGTTTTGTTTGAAAAATTAGTTTGAAATGATAATATTAATATTAAAATATTATTTGGTTTAAAATGACATTTGAAAAATATTAAAATATTTTTGGTTAAATAATAAAATAGACATTTTCAAAATATTGAAAACATATTTTTTAAATTAAAATATCTAATCTTAAACGTGAGTAATTTATGTCTCACGAATTAACTTTTGAAGTTAAGATACATCTGACCCAACTTTAAAAGAAAAATAATTTATTCATCTTCACATTTTGGGTCTTAGGTAGATGATGATAAGAGAGATAAGAAGGAAAAAGAAAACGAGAAAATAAGAGATGTGACTAGTGATAGAGTGAAAAAATAAAAATAAAAGATGAAAAATAAGTGTGAAAAAAGGGTATGAAAATACAATAGTTAAGTTTAAAATTGTTAATATATATTTTCTAGAAAGCATGCCGAACACAACTAATGAAAGGTGAACTACTGGAAAAGTGCATGACATCATGTGGGGAAAATCATGTAAAATTGATCCAAGCAATAATTAATTTCATACATTGATAAGCCTCATCGCTGGGTCCAGCGTTAATTACAAATATTTCAAAGTATGGATACCAATCACCTCGAATGTCGAGTAGCAACTTCCATGAATTTGTGAAGTATTTTGGACTGTGTGTAAGTGCATGTTAGCATGGCATTGAAAGTCTTTAAACTTAAATTTTAAAATGTAGGTGTACTTTAAAATTGTATTAATATATTTAATGATTTTATCTTTAAATTTTATATTTATGTCAACATGATAAATCATAATTATTACGTAACATTAAAAAAGTTACATTCAAATTTATTATAAACATCAAACACTTTTTAAATAAAATTTATTTTATAAAGATTAAATTTACTCAAACGTAAATTTATAATCATCCAAACACACGATAAGTTGTTCTAACTCTCAGTCTTCATTGAATTGGTTTCACCTTCGTCATCGGATACATCTTATTCATTCAACTCTGAGACAAATGTTGTTGAGGAAAAAGATGACTTAGAAACTCTTTCCTCCTTCTTCTTCATTAAGAAGCCCTTAGTGAATTCTAAAGAAGCCAAAATATCCATTTTTCACACCACAAAACAAGCGGTAACAAAGAGAGGAATGTAAATCTCAAGTGAACTACCTCTAATAAATTTTTATTTATTTTATTATAAAAAAAAGCTACACTACAAAGAGAGAAATGACCGACAAAACTCACAAAGTACACCTTTATTTTAGTTCCTAAAATATGTAACGTTATTCAGATTAATTTTATATCTTTATTTTAGTTCCTAAAATATGTAGTGTATGTTAAAATTGAATAATAGAGTGATAATTTATCATGTAACACGTGACAATCTATTTTTAACATAAAATGACGTTTTAAAATTTTTAAAACGTAGTTCATTTGCATTATTAACTTTTAATATTTTTGGTTAATAAGGTCTTTTTTCGTTTTTTTTTTCTGCCTTTTTCTATGACATCTTCTTTCCTCTAACCATCACTATCATGACCTTCAAGCTGCAAAAATTCTTCGTCTTAAGCTTTTTTAGTTGCATTACCAAATTCAAGTCTTAAATTTATGAGTGAATAACTAATTATGATTATTCAGTGAAAGTGGTTTTATATGTAGGATAATGAGTACTTTTATATCTCCTTACAATGATTTTTTTTTGTAGTTTAGAAACTCTTTAAAGCTAAAAAGAAAAAGATTATTGCAATTTTATTCAAATATGTTAGAAATGTTGGTTTCATTGTTGTTATACTTGGTGGTTAGTTGCAGTAGTGGTCAAAGGAAGAAAAAAGATATTATAGAACAAAACAAAACAAAGGTGAGGAGAGATCTTATTGCTCAAAAAATGTTGAAAGTGAAAGATAAAAATGAACTATTTTTTAAAAAATTTTAAAATAATAATTTTTGTCTATAATGAACTGTCATGTGTCATTTAATGTGAAAATCATCAATTTCGTTATTTAATTTTAACGTTTCTTAATTGTAAAGATTAATGTGATTGATAATAATTAATTTTAGGAACTAAAATTTCAAATTTTGAGAACTACCTTAGGTGGTAGTTTATTTATTTATTTATTTATTTTACATGGGACTAATTGTAATTTATATTAAATACCTTAACATTAATTCCTTGTCCCAGTTATGAATCAAATATATCAACCATTCATTACATAAATATTATATCTAACGACGCACATTCATTTGTATATATATCTAACAGGTCAAATTAAGTGGTGTAGGGAGCACAAATTTCAATTTTTAATTTATGCTCTCAATAATTCTTCAAAAGTGTGATTAGAGTTGAGGCTGATCTTATCATGTCTGTCTAATAATTAGTCTGTTTATATATGATCTGCTTATAGTCCATATTTTTGTTGATTGATTATAACTTTTTGTAAACTAGACAAAATCGTGTTCACACAGGGAAAGAAAGTCATGAAGGTGAGGACCGGAAAATTGGTTTGAATTGGAAGATTTAAGAAAAGCATAGATTCCGAATTTACTATAGGAAGTACGTGTGAATTCGAGGATATTGCGTATTACAGTTTATGTTGCTAGGAAAACAGAGGGAATCGCTTTGTTGTCAGATTTGAGGTCAATAGAAACACATGAAATTGTGCACTAGCACGTGTCAAGTTTAACTACCATATGCTTGTCCTGTTATTATTATTATTATCATCATCGTTATTTTTTAATCTGCATACTTCATTTTGAAGTCTCGTTTTGCAGTTTATTTTGTTGCATATTAGTTAACATATTTTCCTGCTAAAATATGTCCGTTGAATTTGTTTCGATCTTTCCTTACATGTGACTTAGCATCTAACGTATAATCACGTTTGACAAACTATTAATTAAAAAAATATCATGTAATTTCTTTTAATCTCAAACTATATTATTTGAATTCCTTGTTTGTTTTGTAAAGTAATATACCCGTTTTCAATCAAATTACCCCTTTGGTATCACGACTTGTCAAGTATAATACATTTATGTTTTAAAAAAATTGTGATATATTTAATTCACATACGATGAACAGTTTATGTATAAGTATAGTTTCTGTAAGTATAATTAATAAACATTTTAAAATGCATCAAAATTAATAATAAAAATAAAAATGATAACAAATTTTGTATAAAATTCAACTTTTTTTTTATAATTAATATATTGTACCCACAAACATTGTTCTTATGCAAGAGTGGCATTTATATTGGCAATTTCATGGACATAATTTTGGGACCTAAGTTATTGAATGCATGAAAATCACCTGAGAGGATATCAAATTATGAAAATGTTACGTGGGATAGACGAATATGTGAGGGGCACTCATCACGAGACAAACTGAGTTAAATTCAAATAGTTTGGGAGCCAGGTTTTTTAGATTCCGTCCTTAAAATTATAATTTTTTAATAACTAGTCTGAAAAAGGATATGTTTTTTTTCCCTCAATTACAAAAATTACTTTTACTTAATAAAAGTTCTTTCCAATTTTTGATCCAATTTCCTTTTTATACAAAAGAAAAACTAAAAAAAATGGTCAACATAGTGGTTTGATTGAGAGATTTATTTTGACCTGAATCCCATTTTCGTGATCAAATTAGTGATCCATGATAAACCCAAACTGATGTCAACACATGTACATTCTGTTATCTACTTCGTACAGATTGATACACCAAAAATTGCAACAACTGTTACAGTTCAATGGGAAATATGATTAAGAGAATTGAACCTAACAAAAAATCTGAATCGTAAAAATGTAATAGAAAAATCCAAAGAAAAAATGAGAATATATCGGATTAACTAGGGGTTAAGGAGAGTTATATAAAAAATCAGAGGACATTAGATTAGTGAGCCAAACAATGACAGTCAACAGATTCCTCCGATTCTTTAATAATCAGTATAGATCAATATGGATCTTTAGAATCAGATCGATTAATAAAATAATAAATATTATTATTATTATTATTATTTTAATATTTTGATCCTATTTCTCTTTTGGCTGTTTCTTAACATAAGCATAAATCCATCCAAAAGTTTCCTTCCATTCAATGGCATGGCTCAGCCGCACATGGCACAAATGAAATGTGCTCAGACGCTTCTGCCAAATTTTGTTTGTACATTCATGGGACACGCGCAAATCACGTGGTACCCAATTTAGTTTCTAACGGGGAAATTCAATTAGTTATTTATTTATATGATTTTTTTTATAAATATCCTAAGT